CCGACATCCGACGAAGGACCGCTTGTCGCTGGCTGCACCTGTCGCGCAAGTGTTGAATTTCTGGTCCAAAGGTTAGTCCTTGGTCGATGATTACACCCAGGTATTGGTGTTTGGTAACCCAGTCCACAGGCTCATTACCTATGACCAGATTAGTGTCTGGTCTCCACTGGTGGATGAGAAGGGCCTTGGTTTTGCGGGCATTGATTCTTACTCCAAGGGAGATGGAGGCTCGGTGAATCTTGGTGAGGCAGCGCTGTGTCTTGTTAGAGTTTCTGTGTCCTATTGTGACAAGGGCAAAGTCATCCGCATAGTTGAAGAGTTTGGCTCCATGCGGTAGTGCGATGTGCATGAGTTTTTCCATGAGACAATTAAATAGGAAGGGGCTAAGGATTCCACCTTGGGGGGTCCCATTTTCGTGGTTTTTGTAGGTGGAGTAGTGCCCATCTACCTTGACTCGTGCACTACGATTTTGTAGACTCTGCTTGATCCACGAGAGAAGGTTACCTTTGATCTGCTTGGATACGAGAGCAGAGAGTATTGCCGGCACATTGGCTAGTTCAAAGGCCTTCTCTAGGTCTAGAAAAACGATGTAACCACGGCTGTTGTTGAGAAATGATAGCATGGAGGCTATGCATTCTGAGGTGCCTAAGCCAGGCTGGTAGGCAAACATGTTTTCTGGGAAGGGTGGGCATTTCCAGCGGACTCTGTTAAGTACCATCTTTTCTGCCGTCTTGCTCAGGCAGCTTAGGAGGGAGATGGGGCAAGGGTTGTCAGGGTCCTGTGGTTTTGGGATGGGCTGAATGTCTGCTCTGTTCCATGAGGCTGGTCTGATTCTTCGTGTGTATGTCGAATTGATCAGAGAGAGTAGAGCAAGCTCCCCTTGGGGCCCCATTTTTTGGATCATTGTGTATGTTATTCTGTCGGCACCTGGGGCTGTGTTCTTAGAGCTTTTGCTTACTCTTAGTAGCTCAGTCAGGGAGAATGGAGCATCTGTTTCATCTTCAGTGTTGATGGCCTCTTCTATTTCTTCCCATCTTGCAGTGGTGAGGTCCTGAAGTGTTGCTCTGGTGGTGATGGGGAGCTGGTTAGAGCTTGCTCTATCCGCGAATTTGATGGCGAGTTCTTCTGCTGCCCTGCTAGGATCCCTGTGGGGGGTGATTTTAGGAGGTTTTCCTTTAGCAAAGGAGTTGATGCTCCTCCACATCTGGCCCACAGAGGTGTGAGCATCTAGGTTGGAACACCACTCTAGCCATTTATTCCTCTTGATGTTGCGAGTCTCTTCATGGACATGTTCTTTGACTGCCTGGAGAGTGCGGTAGGAGTCTTCAGTGCGATGTTTCCTGTGCATTTTCCGAATGACGTTGAGCCGGTGGTTGAGTTCTTTAACTCTGTCACAGTAATACCATCTGTCCCGATGAGTGGTGTGTTGTGGTTTGCAGAGGGGTATGGAGGAGTTTGCTGCAGCTTGCAGGGCATTGACTAGCTCGGCCTCTGCTTGGTCGATGTCTTCAGATGGTACGTAGGCTGAAAACCAATTGCTGAGGTGCTCCTGGAATCGGCCCCAGTCGGCCTTCTTGAAATTCTATCGAGGGGGAGGAGCAGGGATTTGGAAGATTTCAGGAATTGGCAGTGTGAGATGGATCCCATAGTGGTCGCTTGTGACCAGGGGATGAACTCTCCATGTGGCGTCCTGCTTTAGGGAATTGGAGACAAAGGTGAGGTCCAGTATTCCACCTCTGTCGTGTGTTGGCTCATGATCGTTGAGCAGGGAGACATCTTCTTGGTCATTCAGCAGGCTCATGATGTGTCTGCCTGCAGCACAGGGGCGCTCATACCTGAATCTTGGGTGGTGCGCGTTGAAGTCGCCTCCTATTACCAAGTCACGATGACTGGCTAGCCTGAAGAGGGTAGTCAGGTCTAAGCTACCTTCCCGTGGTCTGTAAATGTTGTACAGATCTATGCAGCTGCCTTGAAGTTGGATGTTAACAGCGAGGACGTCGACATCTTCGCCGCAGTAGACCGGTCGGGTTATTTCCTTTGCTAATAGGTTTTTCCTGATGAAGGTGGCGCTGCCTCTGTTCTCCCCTGGAGACCAGTGCTGGTAGAATCCATTGTATCCTGAGATTTTTGGAGGGTATTGCTCTGTGCACAGGGTTTCTTGAACCATGATGACATCAATGTTGTCAGTCTTGGCTATGCCTTCAAGATGTTGTACCTTGTGTCTGAGACCCTGGGCGTTCCAGTGTAGGATCCCGAGATTAGACATCTTGATGATTTGAGGAGGTGGAGGTGGTAGGAGTGGTGGGTTGTTGAGGCTGCTGGTGGGTTCTGGAGACGAGGGCGTTGGCGACAACGGAGTGGGCTACTTCAACGACTTGATTGTAGGCATCTTGGGTGGTGGCTCTGGTATCGAGGAGTCGGACGGTTGCCTGTACGGCTTGAATGAGAAGGTTGGTGAGCTCGTTTACTGTGAAGAGGGTTTGCTGTTTGGAAGAGGAGGCAGAGGAAGGTGTCTGGATAGGCTGTTTAGGTATGGGGGTATGGGAGTTTAGTCTAGGGTCCCGGGACCTAGTGTGGTGAGTGGGTGTGTGTGTGGTCTGAGTGTTCTGGGTGTTACGTGTGACTGCATTGTGTGTTGCATGGGGTGGAGGTGTTGGTGTGAGTGTTGCGTGTGGGGTTGATGGGAGTGTGAGTGTTGTTTGGGGGGATGGTAGGAGTGTGAGTGTTGTGTGATGGGGTGGATGGAGTTGGTGTGGGGGTGGAAGCTGTCGGAGGTGTGATCTGTGTGTTAGGAGCTGGGTTGGTGTAGTGTGGTGGGTTTTGGTTGGGGAGGTTAGGTGTGAGTGGGGCAGGAGGGGGCATTTGCCAAGGATTGGAGGTGGGGGGAGGAGCTGGGGTGAAGTTGGGGGTGGTGTGATTGGTGACAGGGCCAGAAGGAGGGGTTCTTTGAGGAATCCTCTTCAGCCTTTCTGGGCAGCGGTTGTTCCATGCGTGATGGTTCCCTTTGCAGTTCGGGCACTTGGCAACTGTTGCTTCTTTTGCCTTGAATTTTGTAAGGCAGCGGTCGGTGGAGTGTTTCCCACTGCAGATTCCACATTTCTCTGGGAAATGGCAAGTATTCCTGTGGTGCCCAAATCTTTGGCACCGGAAACATCTTAGGGGTTCTGGGGTGTACTCTCTTATGTAGAACTTGCCCCAGATGCCGAGGTTTACTTGCGAAGGGGGTGGACCACAGATGTGGACCAGAACTTGCTTTGATGGAACGGTTTGGCCCTCAATTTTGGAGGAGCAGCATGAGGCAGCCGTAATGTACGTTTGCTTGGTCAGAAGGTCAACTGACCAAGCAACAGGGAAGCCAATAACAATGTATTTTCTTATTTTTAGTGCAGGGTTCAACTCTATCAAGTGAGGTGAGCCTAGGCTGCGGATCTTCTTTGCGGCTTCTGCTGAGGCTGGGTGGAAAATGAAGTCACCCTGTACGTTAGGCTTTATTTTGCAGCCATGCTCGGTGAGTTGGTCTTCCAACTCTCTGATGAGGTCATATGCCTCTTTCATGGAAGGAGCCTCAACTTTGAACTTGGAAATGGGCTCTCTATCAGTCTTTGGGGCTGGGGGGGAACTGGGGCAGCAGCACTCTCATGGCTACTGTTAGAGGCTGTCCTTGCCCTCTTCTTTCCCACAACCGTCCACCCTTCTTGAGGGGGGTCGAGTTCCATTCCCCCCTCTGGGGGGAAGCAAGAGAAGCGGCTGAGGCCATGACTAGCAACTAGTCATGGATATCACAGATTTCACTATTTATATGTTATTTGCACTGTTTGTCAATTTGATTAATGCAGTATAGGGGCCTTATGGCTTGATCACTTCACTTAATTGCAACACTACAACACTTAATCACTTATACAGTCTTCTATCTTTCTTCCCAACTCTCGTGGGAGAGGGAAGTGAAAACAGAGATTTGCTCAGGACACAATAATGTGTGTTCAATTAAACAAAAAAACACAAGCACAAGAAAACAACAAAATAAGGCAATCTTTCTGTTTCTCTCTTTGGCTCTCGTGAGAGAGGAAGAAAAGAAAACAGATATACTTAGGTTATATATCCTTGTGAAGACTTCCCCCTCAGGTCAGGGATGGAGTGGAGGAGGTGAAGTTCACTTTGTTGGTAGGAAGAGGCTTCAACTACCTATCACAAAAGATATAAAAACAATTAGAAGCCTGAACACTTTCTATTTCCCTTCTCTTCCCAACTCTTATAAAAGAGAGAGAAGAGCAGGCAAAATTACTTAGAGTATATCACACACACAGTCACTTGTTTTCACTAAAACACAATAATGTGTGTTCAATTAGACAAAAAAACACAAAAGCACAAAAATTCAACAAAACAAGGCAATCTTTCTGTTTCTCTCTTTGGCTCTCGTGAGAGAGGAAGAAAAGAAAACAGATATACTTAGGTTATATTTCCTTGTGGAAGCTTCCACCTCAGACAGGGATGGAGTGGAGGAGGCGAAGAGGCTTCAATTACCTATCACAATAGATATAAAAACAAATTAGAAACCTGAACACTTTCTATTTTCCTTTTCTTCCCGACTCTTATAAAAGAGAGAGAAGGGCAGGAAAAATTATTTTGGGTATATCACACACACAGTCACTTGTTTTCACTAAAACAAAAATCGGGAACACAAAACAAAACAAAACAAAACCAGTCTTTGCTTCTTTTTCTGGCTCTCGTGAGAGAGGAGGAAAAGAGGACAGAGATACTTATGCAGGTCCTATCACTACTGGAGCTGGAACCAGACTTGTTGGGAGTTAGTATGCTGTGGTCTCGGGGTCCCCTGTGCCAGGTAAGCTGCTGGGTGGTGTAGGCTTCTGCTATTGGCTGCTGGGTGGAGTCGGCTTCTGCTATTGGCTGCTGGCAGAGTGAGAGAGAGAGGTCCATCCACTACTGGAGCTGGAGCTGGACTGACGAACCTAGGTAGGATCCCTTGTTTCCATCCTATCGGGAACCTCGTGGTGTAATCAGTAGCACACTCGGCTCACTACCGAGAGATTTCGGGTTCGATTCCTGAGCGAGGAGGAAACACTTGGGCACGTTTCTGCAATCCCAATTGCCTCTGTTCACCTAGCAGTTTAATTAGGTACCTGATGTTCAGTCGATCGTAGTGGGTCGCAGGTCAGGGATGGTACTGCCTCAAGGCTGAGCAAAAACGGCCAAACCACTGATATGAAATGTCTCAATGTCTCACTTAACGCTATAAAGAGGGGTGGAGCTGCCCTCGCTTGGATAGAAGGCAGGCGAAAATACCATTTTATTAATTAAAAATCTACTCACTCATTCTATAACCTCAGTTTGGTTATCGATTCTACGGTTCTCTATTAAATATAGTTTTTTTTTTTCAAATTCAAAAATTTATTTCCATTCTTGTAATGGCTATTCTGTCACGAAACAAATAAATCACTTGGAAGTAAACACGTGACTGAGCAAATAAGCTGACATGGACAGCTGAAATAATTTAGAATTAACATATGTATTATATACACACTTACAAATATACATTGAATAATCAGATAACAGAGTAAAGTGCATAAATAATAATAATAACAGTAATAATAATAGTAATAAAAATAATAATAATAATAATAGTAATAATAATAATAAAAAAGATATAATAATAATAATAGTAATAATGATAATTATAATAAAAATAATAATAATAATAATAATTCTGATTATAATCATAATAATAATAATAATTATAATAATAATAATACTAATAATAATGATAATAATAATAATGATAATAATAATAATAATTATAATAACAAGAGAAAAAAAATAATAATAATAGTAGTAATAATAATAATGCTAACAGTAACAACAACAACATTACTTCTACTACTACTACTACTAATAATAATAATATTAAATAATAATAATAATAACAATAATTACAATAATAATAATAATAATGCTAATATTAATAATAATAATAATAATAATAATAATAATAATACTAATACTACTAATAATAATATTAATAATAATAATAATAATAATGATAATAATAATAATAATAATAATAATAATAATAATAATGAATCAGTTCAGTATGAAAGAGCCATAACCTTACAAGTGACATATAGCTTACTTAGATAGTTAAGGTAAAATAAAATTTACATATGTACGAACAATTATAAACACAACGAAAAAACAGATGATAATAATTAGATATTATATATATATATATATATATATATATATATATATATATATATATATATATATATATATATATATATATATATATATATATATATATGTGAGTAAGCAAAGCTGTTAGCATACGGCACTAAATGGTAAGGAAGCCCATGAGTAAAACAACACAAAGAACAAATAACGCTGGAAAAGGGGTCCAGTTAGGATCCGAAATATTTTTTATTTATTTGTAATATTTGTAATTATTTGTTTTGTGTGTTGTTTCACTACTGGGCTTCCTTACCATATATATATATATATATATATATATATATATATATATATATATATATATATATATATATATATATATATATATATATATATATATATATATATATATATACATTTATATATATATATATATATATATATATATATATATATATATATATATATATATATATATATATATATATATATATATATATATATATATATATATATATATATACATTTATATATATATATATATATATATATATATATATATATATATATATATATATATATATATATATATATATATATATATGATTTTTTTTTTTTTTAAGAGAGTGCCACCGGTACAGACAGAAACTGCCCTCATCAATAAAGGCCCGGGCACGAGAAAATACCAAGACGAAGGAAAAGAAAAAGGTTAAGGGCAAGGCAGAGATGAGGTAATGTCACACAAAGGAAAACGACAGACAGAAAAAACAGTCAAAGTATAGAGGACCCAGAGATATGGAGGACTAGGCTCTGAGATGACGATAGATCTGCATTTTGAAGGATGAAAAGTCATAAGAATTAGGAAAGACAGAAGGCGGAAGAGAGTTCTAGAGTCTGGAGGCAGATGGGAAGAAGCAGTCGCTGCACCGACCAATCCGCGAGATACAAATCTCCACACAGTACCTGTGAGATGAGGCTGCTTGACGAGTGTTACGCGGCCTCGGCAGTGGAGGAGGGATGCAACTCGCCAACTCATCAGAGCAGCGATGGAAGTAGTAGCGATAGAAAAGCAAAAGGGAAGATACCTTACGGCAGAGAGAGAGAGAATCCAGGTTAAAAGTAAGGGAAGGATCATTAATGAGTCTGACTGCCTTAGATTCAACCCTATCAAGAAGATAAATGAAGGAAGCAGCACCCCAGATAAGTGAGCAGTATTCTAAGCAGGGGCATATAAGACCTTTGTAAATTTTAAGTAACTGCAATGAGGAAAAGTAATGACGAAAACGAAACAAAAGCCCCATTTTTTGGATGAAAATTTAGAAATTTGGATTATGTAATTCCTCCAAGACAATTTAGAGGCTATATGGATTCCTAATATATTGATATAGTTAAGAGGGTAAATTTCATTAGTTTCGAAGACAATAGGGTTATCAGGAGGAGAAGAATATAAAACGATAGCCACAAACTGTGTCTTGGAGGCATTGAATTTAAGTAAATTTTGAGAGCCCCATTCAGATACTCTCTGCATATCGGAGTTAAAGGTAGAAGAGAGAGTGATACAACATTGATTACGAGTAACAGATGAAGGTTGTGAAGAAAAGGCAGAGGGAAAGTGAAGGGTAGAATCATCAGCAAAGGCATGAAGAAGAGAGGAGAATGGGGACTGTAGAAGATCATTGATAAAGAGAAGGAAGAGAGTAGGTGAAAGAACAGAGCCCTGTGGAACACCACTGGTAACAGAGAAAGGGCTAGATGTCATGCCATCAACAACTACAGATATAGAACGGTCAGTAAGAAAACTGGAAATCAGAGAACAGAAAGAAGTGGTAAAGCCATAGGCAGAGAGTTTGGCCAACAGAGCCTTGTGTCAGACTCTGTCAAAAGCCTTAGAGATATCAAGGGCGACGACAAAGGATTCCCCATAGTTTCTCAGAGAAGATGACCATACATGAGTAAGATAGGACAGGAGATCACCAGTGGATATTGCATTGCGGAAGCCGTACTGGTGATCGGAGATAAATGAGTTAGATTCAAGGCGTTTCAAGAAGTGAGCATTGAGCAAAGTTTCGAAAATTTTAGCAATAGAGGAGGTTAGAGCAACAGGTCGTTAGTTAGAAGGAATAGAGCGGTCACCCTTCTTAGGAACAGGTTGAACTAGAGCATGCTTCCAAGATGAAGGATAGATACTGGTTGACAGAATAAGGCGAAAAAGATGGCAAAGCACGGGAGCCAGTTCATCTGCAAACTCCTTAAGGAACCTTGCAGGGATACCATCGGGACCAGATGCCTTGTTCGTCTTTAGCGAGCGAAGAACCTTATGAACTTTACGTGAAGAAAGTATAAGGGAGGGCATAGTGTTAGAGAGGGGAAAAGACTGAGGAACAGGTGCACTGGAATCGTTGATAGAGGAGTTGGCAGAATAATTAGAGCCAAAGAGAGTGGCTTTGTCAGTGGGAGAACAAGCTATAGAACCATCAGAACGAATGAGAGGGGGAAAGCTTGAGTTACAGAAGTTTTTGGAGAGGTTTTTGGCTAAGGACCAGAAGCATTTATCAGAGGGAGAGGAGTTAAGGTCATCAACTTTCCTTCTTATAAAGGAAGCCTTAGACCTTCGAATCTGAGCAGTACAGCGATTCCTAGCTATAATAAAAGCAGAGCGAGTTAAATCAGAAGGAGAAGCTTGGTAAGATCGGTGAGCCTGATTCCTAGCCTGGATAGCCATGGAGCAGGCACGGTCAAACCAAGATTTAGGGGGAGAGAAAGTATTTGTAGAAGAGGGGATGTACGCCTCCATTCCCGCGGTCACGATCTCGGCAACTTTTAGAGCTACCTGATCAGGGTTGCGGGACCGAAAGCAGTAGTCATCCCATGGAGAGTCAAAGAGAAAGTTATGCAAATTTTCATATTGGGTTCGGTCGAAGTGCCAAAGGCGTCGCTGAGTAAGAGGGATTGGTGGTGGGGGAGCGAAAATGGAAGAGACAGAGATCATAGAGTGGTCAGATTTACCAATAGGGTAAAGCACAGAATAAGAGTAGTGTGAAGGGTTAGAAGTAAAAAATAGGTCTATAGTGTTTGCAGCATGTTCGTGACGATCAGGAACGCGAGTAGGATGTTTGATAATTTGCTCCAGATCGTGAGAAATAGAGAGAGCAAGGGCCTCGCTTCCTCCCACATCAATGTGAGAAGAATGAAGCCCCTCACTGTGGTGTACAATGATGTCTCCAATGTAGAGAACTTCGGCATGCGGGTGTGAAGATAGCAAGGCCTCATGTCACAAGGAGAGATATTCAAAGAAAGACACAAACTTGGTGGAGTTTGGAAAACAGTAGCAGAAGCAAAGGATGATAGTGGTAGTGGAGAGATAGACCTTTAGCCAGAGAACATCAAAGTCAGGAGATTCAAGGTCCATGAGCCTCACAGTAGGAGTGTTAGTGTTGCAGTATGCACAGACCCCACCTTTGGAACGAAAACGACTATACAGATTATAGTGAGAGATTTGGAATGGGTGAGTGGAAGCTTGTATAGACAGCTGGGTTTCAAATAGGAGGAGGAGGTTTGGGAGGAAAGTGCCCAAGTGCTGTTCCACAGACGAAAGATTAGAGTTCAGTCCACGAATGTGTGAAGAGTGAAGAGTGAAAGAAGCAGATCTATTGGGAAGTGCAAGGTTAAGAGCAAAACCATTACTACCACCAGGCCTGTTTGCCCTCAAGCCAATGGTGGAGTCAATACGATCTCCCGGATATATATATATATATATATATATATATATATATATATATATATATATATATATATATATATATATATATATATATATATATATATATATATATATATATATATATATATATATATATATATATATATATATATATATATATATATATATATATATA